ACCAGAGACGCGTCTTAAGCTCAGCTGGCATCATGCTGGGCTATGGTGTGGGTGACTACGATTCTAATCCCCTGGTGTCATGTCCTTGAATCTGAGCCGTTGTAAGAGTTTGCGAGGATTTGTGTCAACGTGTCTCGCTCAGTTGTGTCACAGATGAACACTGAGTTCTAAGCTGCCCGTTCATTTAATAATCTTCTGTTTCAAAATGTAATTACACAATGTACTTTACGTCCCCATTATTTACATCAGGATATTTTAGGAGGTGAATTTCTACCTTGTCTGTTCGGGCCAATACAGGCTGTGAGGGATACAGCATCCCAACATAAACATTCAGATACATGTACTTAATAAAAGTTCTCCTCACACGAGAAATGAACTGGCGTCCTCTGCGAGCGACGGAGAAGGAGAAGGGCCAGACGGAGAAGGAGAAGGGCCAGACGGAGAAGGAGAAGGGCCAGACGGAGAAGGAGAAGGGCCAAACCACGATATTTGTCAGTGTTGAAAAGGATGTAAAACACACTAACGAATTGCCATTCTTGGGGAACACATAGATCTAGATCTGAGGCTCGGTTTTGAAAAAAAAAGTAAACTCACCCGTAGGTCACAAGGCGATTAGGCATGCATTCAACACGCGCATCACGTGCATAGCCACTAAGTTTTTACTTTGTTGAGTTTGAGGCATTATTCACAGTCAGATTTGACGGCTTTGGCCCCTTTCTGTCTATTGTTTTTGAGGCAAGACGCACAGCATGGTAGAGTGTAATCGAAGTCATGCACGGTGAATGCTGTGTTGTGTCTCATGCACGGTGAATGCTGTGTTGTGTCATTGTATCTGGAGTTGTTTGGCGCCCCATCGATATTACTATTTAATTTAGATCATTTAGGGGTCAGGCTGCTTCAACCTTGCCTGTCATAGCCAACCCGGACTGAGAGGGAGTGGCCAAGCGCCTGCCTAACCACAAACACCCCAAGTTGGCGCGTACTGTGGGTTTGTTTTAACAAAGAATTGGTAAGTGTTTTAAGGCCCTAGCAACTACACACGTCCACACATGAGCGTGCAGGACATATAGAAGCATTTTCAGTTTGGTAGGAATTGCTTTTGAATTTTGCCCTGGGGGCGGCTGAAACCTACTCTTATCGATTTTAGGACCACCAAGGGATCTATAACATGCGCAACTTGCAGACGGAAACTCCGAGACGTTTTCACCCTTATCGGAGAAGGCTAGGTGGTAGATCTTACCTACCCACGGGTGTGGCGGAAAGACAACAGTGAGAAGAAGCCAAGGAGTAGCAGAAGAAAGACTGCAGAAAGAGCCAGGGCCCAGAGGGGGCAAAGGGGGAAGGGGCAGTAAGTGGAAACGAAAACAGAGGACAGACTATGGGAGAGCAGGAAAAATGTAAAATGATTTTAGGGAAGACGACTTTAGAGAAACATTTTTTTCCGTCGTGGTCAGGTTTCGAACCCGGGACCTATTGAATGAGATGCAAACACCGTACATCTAGAACACGAGAGCCTCCGTGTACCTGTGGTAAAACAAGATTTTCTGCTCTTGCAAGGGGATACTAACCAAACAAACTCAGCAACCCCTTAACGAGCAACGATGTGTTCAAAGCTTTGGCTACGCTTAAAACATCTACGGTTCATGAAGTCGGTATTATAATATAATATCTGGTGAAGT